ATCGAGCAATTGTTTTATTGCAGTACCTTTGTCAGGGCTGCAATTCTCTGAGCCAGTTCAGCCTCTACTTCAGGTAAGGTCTCAGCTTTTCTCATAGTCTGTTGCAACTTTTGCTCAGCCAGCTCAAGACGCTCTTGTAACTGTCTGTTCTTCTCTTCCATCTGAAATTGGGATGGGAAAAGAGACCCTTAAAGAGTCACAGTTAGGATAACAAACACTAATCATTAGGAACTTTGGGTTCGGCCATTATTCTATGTTTAAAATCAGCTACTACTACCACACCTACTATGCAAAAAGATTAGTGTCCCGTGTTTTTATACGTTACTTATCTATATTTCTTAATAAAATTCAGCATATTAAAAAATAGAAAAGCTCTTACCAATGGCAGCAAAAGTGTATAGTGAGTATAAACTTGTACAAATGGAATACAGCTCAGTACTAAGGCTTCAGGTGTACCACGATAGCAAAATATTGAAAAGCATACATTAGCTGAAAAGGGAGAGGTAACATAGCATAATGGTTAAGACTCTAGGCTCTAGAGTTGAAGTTGGCAAACTTTTTCTGTGAAGGGCCTGATAGGTCGTAAATATTTTAGGCTTTGTTTATCATGTAGTTTCTGTTCTAACAATTTGATTCTGTTGTAGAACAAAAGCAGTCATAGACAACGATTAAATACATGGGTATGGCTATGATTCGATAAAACTTTAGTTGCAAAACAGAGCCAAGGTTTTGGCACAAGGGCCATAGTTTGCCCACTCCTTTTGTAGAGCAGAATAGACTCAGGCTTCCTTTATAGACTCTAGAAATTAATTACGAGATGTGGACCTTGCGAAAGTGTTCATGTCTCTGAACTTTAGTGTCCTTAGAATAATAAACATGCTTACTTCACAGGTGGTGGTTAGATTTAAGGGAGGTAATACATGTAAACTGTTTCTGGTTCATTTCTAGATCCAAAGTAAATATTAGTCACTATTTTTATTATTATTAAAACAAATTTCTAAATTACATAAAATCACATGTTTAATTTGCTCCATCCTA